AATTAAAATTAAACATACTCCGTCTCATATTCTGTCTGAGCCCGCAGGCAAAGATACTTTATTTTGCCACTTGTCTAGTCTTGTAGGTACTTCGCTTCAGAATTTATCTGAAACCATTAAGAGTCTAGCATCATCATTTGTGGAATTCTTGTAAGTGCAACTTCCGATTTTACATATCAAGCTCTATTGTTGGATTCACAGATTTCAGCCATATCATGTATCAGGTATTATTAGAAAAAACCCAAACTTCAAATATTTGTTAACTGTGATTTAATAAGATTCATATACATGTGAAAACTAGGAGAGATTTTTTTTAAACTTGTCTAGCAATACACTTAGAATGGAGGAATGGTGTTCCTTAGCACTTTGCCATAAAGTAGCATTGTACAAGAAAGTCTTTTTTCCTAGTCTTTCTGGTTTTGCTCATCTGAAAATAAAAATTCTGGTATTGCAGTTTTTATTCTGAAAACAAACAGTGTGCATTGTTTGCAAGGTACAATACAGAGGAAACACGATTGTGCATGGGGGAGAGTTGCCAAAACAGTATACTGTCTTACTTCAGGTCTCAGAGGAAAGTGAAATAATATCCTGAAGTCCATCTGTTATAATTGCCACATTTATTGCTGAAAGTCAAATAACTACTGAAAGAACTTTGCTAACCAAGAAGAGGTATATTTCTAAGTGGGATGTTAATCCATCGTCTGAAAGCTCCACTCAAAACCTATGTGAAAATGGAGAGCATGCAGGTGTTGTCATGAGATGAGGTGCTGTAACTATAAGAGCTTTTGTGCCCTGCTGCTGGGTTTCTCTGCAAGCCCTTGTGGTTTGCCTTTTGGGTCAGGCCATGTGGGATCTCTCTGTCATGATGTGATCCCTGCCTGGCTCTTCAACAAATCCAGTAACCAGGTGCTTCTCTGAGGGCACCCTCAGGGACAGCTTCTCATCCCTCTTCTCTAGTGCACGTGCAAGGGGCATCTTCCTCCAGCCACGTTTAGGACTTTCTGGGTCTCTTTATGTTGTCCAAGCCCTTTGGCCTAACGCAAATGGGCCTGTGGGTCAGGAAGATAAGGGGAAGGGTGCTGTGAAGTTATCACTGAGAACTGAAGGTTTCCAGCTACAGCTGAGCAAACTGTAAGCATGTGAGCCGCCTTTCACTGTAACAGGAAGACTGTTCCGTAACACGCTGCTGAAGCGGGGCCTTATAGAAGATCCTCATTGATTCATGATGTGTTTGAATGCTGGGGAAGAAAGTATTGGCAATGCATTTTATATAAATATTATGAAATGAGTGTCGTTCAATAAAATCCCTGCAAACTCTAGGGAAGATCATGTGTTCAACGAGTTGTTCTCCAGCATGGTATCTATCAGTAGAAAACCTTCAGTAAGGTAACAGAGGTTGTTGCTCTGTAGTAACAGGAAAATTGCTAAAGTGTCTACTTAACAAAACAAATATTTCCTAGTACTGTTTTTTCTTTCTTTGTCTGAAAAGCTGTAGATTTATTTAGCATGACAGAAAATTGAACTCGTATGGCTTGAAACTGAAGTCAGATACATAACAGAACCTAATTATTACTGAGGGAAGGAGGTGGGAATATAGTAGACATTTCAAGAAAGTTTTAGTTACGCATGCATCATACGCATCTATATGTGTGTTATGGAAGCACTGTCTTTAAAAAAAAAAAAAGTCAGTATTATATGCATGGTTCGTCCGTCAGTAAATACTGTCAGATCCTTTACTTGGAGAGAATTTAAACTGAGCTTTTTGAAAGTAGCCCAACAGGCATAAATGCATAGTTCTTTTTTGACAGTTAGTGGAAGCTGGAAATTTACTTCCCTTCGCCTTTCTAAAAATTCCAGTCATCATTTAAAAAAACCATCCATCATATGAAGCCTGGAGTTAGATTAGAAGAGTGAGAAGACAGGGGAAAAACGAAGGAAACGTTACTGGTCCTTCCCCTGCTGCGATGGGGCAGACTCTGCAGGCATGGATAAGACTTACCCTTTGATTTGTTTCCGCAGGACTGTGGCATTCCAGAGGTAGAGTTCTGCCTGGCAGCTGGTGGTACAGAGGGACTTCCTATCTGCATACAGAGTGCAGTTGCCAATTTAGAAGAACTGGATGTTGAGAAAAACCCTTATATAAGAGTCAAATCAGGAGTGTGAGTACTGAACCTTTTTAATAGCGTTTTGCCAGCAGTAGAGGAATGAAAGTCAGTCAGCGATAGGAACAATATTGGGGGGGGGCGGGTGTCTACAAAGCAGTTAATATACACTAGATATTCCTAGCTCTAAACTTCAGCATTGTGCTATGTGGGCTCCTAGTAGTGGAACCAAATTTCTGAAGGCATTTTTCCTCTAGTTGCTGGCAGAAGTCTTCTATAATTCCATCTTTGAGTAGCTTTATAAATAGAAGCAACAGCTCAGCTATAATTAGCTTTTAGTTCATTGCAGAATAGATACTGTCTCCCTAGTCACCCACCCTGTTATAACTATAACACTATGGTTGAATACCAGTAAATGAATATTACATCATCCAAGCATTTCTCAAGCTACAGCCATATCCTGACTTTCTGGAGAGAGGTGATGCAATATCATACAGGCCCCGAGGTAGCCCAACATTTCCTGTATTGAGCAGAATAGTCTGTTTCCTGGGTAAATGGCCAACACTTCACAGCTCCTGAAGTTTGGGAGTTCTGTGCCTCTTCTCATAAATCGTTGCAGAATGACATTAGCTATTCTGTTACAAGAATTGCCTTTCCACGTGAGCCAAGCCTTCCTTCCCACAATCTTGAGTATGTCTGTGAAGCTTGGGGTGGTGAAGGAATTAAAAACAGAGTCTTGTCTTAGTTTTGATAGAACGTAGTATAACTTTTAACTGCTTGTGGTCTGTGTGTGTAGTTTTAAGAAAATAATTTTCCATATGGTTCAATACTTCTTCCTCAATTCCTTATTTGGTCTGCTAACCCAGTGTCCAACTTCTACATTCAGCTTTCTTTTTGATTTAAAACCGTCTGAAGGAGTCTCAGCGTTTTTAATCTTCATGTCAAAATTACGATAGCCCACTTTCCAAAGGAGCGTTGTAAATCATCATATTTTAATAACTTCCACTGAAAAAAAAAAAAGTGGGATCAATGTTAGAAGCCTTTTAATTCCGAAGGTGACAATCCTAGGTAAAATTTGATGCAAGTTTCTCATCCTCAGTACTGACATTGGTTTTGTATACTCATAGTGTAACAAACTGGCTTCTTAAAGTAAGTGAACAAATTGGTAATTTTCTTCTCTTTCACTTATGTTTAGCTTGGACTGAGAAAAAGTATCTGAGATCTTCTTAGCGTTAATGTTGCCAGTGTATTTAAACATAGCTTCATTTTGGTGTGCTGGCAGTATCTAAAACACATTATCTAGCTCTTATGAGTACAAAAAGGAAAAGAATTTTAATAAGATTTTGTAATCTATTTAATGAGATTAATAAGTCCTTTATCCTTATTGTTATAGATGGCTTGCTTATTCAGACTTTAATTACAAGGGAGAGATGAAGGTTTTGGAAGAATGCGATTCACCATCTGAAATTCCTTCAGCAGATGTAAAATCTCTGCGTCCCTTAAAAATGGTGAGGACTTCACAATTCCCTAATAAGTTGTGTGCCTTCCTTTTCCTATTTTTTGCTCCACTGAAGGTTTTGATCTAACTATAACCTAGGTTCTAACGTCCTTTCAGGGTTAATCCTTATATACGTAACACTCATCTCATGCCACGGTGCATTTGCAGTGTTGTAATGGCACGGCGGTCCCATGGCTTGCTGGGCTTCTGCCCACGTAAGACCACATAGTTGGAGGGAGCACCTGATTCACTAGGACATCTTCCTGGGAAACTGCTGTTGTTGAGTGGAGATCAAATAAGATAGAACTGAAAAGCTCTTGATTGTATTGCAGCCAACACCAATTCATTAACTAAAAAAGCTCTTCAGAAGTTGTTTATTTTCTTTTTTTAATGATACAGCTAGAGTCTGTTGGGGGTGGAAGACCAGGTGAAGAGTTTATTACCCAGTAGTATTCCTGTGACCACATATGACACAAAAATCTTAGGAGGTGCAGCTAATTTTTGTTTTGATAGACTGCATGTAGATCTAAATATGAAAGAGGTGTGGAAGGGTATAACACATAATTCTACTGTATACATAGCAAGCCTACAGAAAGAGAGTTTAAAAGCCACAAAGGAATAAGACCTAACAGCTGTCTTTTTAGTCACTCATGGGAGGTAGGTGTCTCATTCCCTCACTGGAGATCATTCACTAACATTTCCAGAGAAAATGCATTTGTTGCATTTGCTCTTTGACCATAGACATGAATATATCACCCTGTATTTTCTCTCTCTTCTGGTGTTAGTGCTCCGCCATTTGTGCTTAAGAAACTTGAAATACATACAACAAAGCTTTAAAAGTTAATTTTAAAAATTGATCAGTATAAATTAGTTTAAAAACACATAGTAAATATTTGCTTTAGATTGCTAGTAGACAATGAAGGAATATTTTTAAATTGCTTGCACCCCTACAGGCTTATCAATGCACTGATTTGTTTTGTAGGTCAGGTTTATAGTGTCCCTGGCCTTTATGAATTATCAGAGTATTTAAACTAGTGTTTGATTTGGCCGACACTGAAAATGTTGAATATAATTAAAAAGACTTCGTGCTGTGATAGTACTATAAAATACGTGTCAAAGCATAACTTTGTTTTATGTAAATACCTTTTTTTTTTCCCTCCTATCTTTTTTTAGGGTGGACTAAAGGTACAAATGCCAATGAATATCAAGGTAAGCACTGAGGACACTGAGAATAAAATATGAGCACATTGGAAATATAAAACCTTTATTTAAGCTGTTTTCTTTTTGTTGGGTATGTGATGTTTGATTAAGTATTCAGCGTTTGCTGCTGAAGAAAAATTCACTAATGCTGTCAAGTCCACTTTCTTACTAGTGTTTCATGAGATGTAAAAGCAGTAGTAGTTTGTTTTTTACGTATTAGGAGAATGTGAATTTGCTATAGAAGAATTGTAACAGTTCATTACAAAATAAAATGAGTTTTCCTGACTGACACATCAGTCACTGTAATGGAAAGGGATCAGGAGAGATTTTCCCATTTAACATAGCAAGTTTAAAAAAAAAAGGAGGGAGGAGGGAAGGAAGGGGGCAGGAACAGGACCCTTCCTTCCTATACCCAGTCCCAATACAAGAGTCGTGAGCAAGGCCATGACCCTTCTGAGATTTGAGGAGCAGAAAGCTAATCCAGAGTTATTGCTCCTTTTCCCTCCTTTTTCTAGTTCTCCACAAAAATGCTAATGCTTTAGGTAACTTTTAATTATACAAATACATGCAAGACTCAGGTGTTTTTCTAATAAATATTGCAATAAATATTAATACTCTTAATAGCTGATCTGTGTGATTCAGCAGATGAGGAACCTCAAGGGGGTGTTAACTGCAGTCACTGAAATAACTTCAGCAAAGTACAGAGAAAGACCTCTTGTCTACTTTCGAAGGATTAAGCTCAGTGTGTCTAGCTGTGACCAGGTAGGATTGACTACAGGCTACTATACACTGCCCAGGCACAGGATTACAGGATAAATCACAGTCATATAGCTGCAGAGTGCATTTATGTATATGGAATTGTGTGGATAAGTATCCTTCTGTGGAAATGTCTGCAAATAGCCTGACAAGCCTATCTAAATCCAAATAGGGTCTCTTCAGCTTCTAGGGAACTCAAGAATTGGAAGGGCTGAGGAATGCAACCCTGAATTTTCTTCATAGTGATGGCTTGTTGGAGGGGGAAGAAAGGTGTCTTCCACATACTGTAGCAGTACACACACCCAAACTTCAATTTACTATTCAGGGCATACTTAAGGCATTGTTCAACATCATGTTTTCTAGATAATAATATATGAGAAAACCCACTTTGGAGGATGGTCCAAAGAGTTTTCAGAAAACATCAGTTCTGTCCCAGCTCTGTTTGGTAGTGAAGAAGAGTTTCAGGAAATCGGATCAATACGTATAATTGGTGGAGCGTAAGTATATTTCACTTCTATATTTATTTACTTTAAAATAGGAAATCATAACGAAATGCTAAGAAGTGCTAACTAAGGGGTGATTAGAATCTCTCACTGGTAAAATATTTTGAAAAGAAAAGAATATATATTTCTTTATTATCAGCCTTGGATAAAACCACCTCTCTATATGGCTTATCTATCTAAGGGAATATAGGAAGATAAAACTAAGTGTGTGAGAGGTGTGCAGTGCTTACCACTTGGATGCCAATAAACTGGGCCACTTTGTTCCTTAATGACAGCATTCACACAGAGCTTTAATTTATATTGCTTTATACTTCTGATAGTCTCTACTTAATTTACTGAAATGACCTTGGGTAGGTGTGGTCAGTCTTTAATTTGACATTTTAATGCCTCTGAAATCTATAAACTGTTTTATTGTCTTAATGGTTTTCCTTTGCCACCTGTTGCATGTTATCTGGAATTAAGAATCTATCCTTACTTTCCTTCATTGAGGCCTCTGATTGATTCTGTGTTGCCCTGCCCCTCTCTGTGTCATACGCACACACGCACAAAACAGGCTGTGTAACACAGTCCTTAGGTGGACTGCTCACAAGGTAGGCTCAGCGCCAGCTCTTCTAGAGAGCTACCAACCCCATGCGTTGTTCTTTCAACCTCTCCCAAGACCCAACAGGATAGGACTGTTTGAAAGCATGCAGGGTGGTTGCTTCTGCCAAAGAGCTTGGCAATAAAATAGTTCTCAGAAACTTTCTTTTTTCTTAGGGGATTTCAATGCTAATACTTCAGTATAAAGATTCAATAACATACATCCTTTCATGCTGTTGTCAGAATCTTACAAGCACTAAATTCAAAATAAACTTAATTGTGAATACTCAAATAATCTATTCATAAATACGTTATGTATTTGCTATCTGGGAAGCCTCAAATTATTAAAAATCATCCTTCTGTCTGTTGTGGCAGCTTTTATTTTTAATACTGCAAAATTTAAACAGCTGAATTAATGTAAACCAAATGGTACTAAAAGTAAAGCTATCCCTGCCTGTCGAATTTCAGTGCCGACGGAATTTGTACGGCAGTTCTGGTACTTACGAGGGAGCTTTAATGAAAGAAATGGTTACAAGAAAGAAGGAGGGGGAAGTACTTTCTCAAATTAAGATCCATTAGACCTTTCAAAGTTGATGTGAAAATGCCTTCTTTTAATCAAGCCTTATCTATTTGTTCAAAATACTTTAAAAAGTCTTATTCCCGTAGTGCTAAAACATATTCCATATGCAATGTATTGTATATATTCAATTCACTTGTCTATTCATATAGATATGTTTTTAGATTAGAGCAGGAAACCATATAAGCAGGTGAAATTTTGTTCTGCTGAAATCCACTAATTTTGTCATCAGCTCCAGGAAGGGTAGAATCTTATTATTTATTAATACACTGAAGATATCTACTGCTTGTTTTTTATCATTGACAATTGGTGGCTTACAGTGTTCTGGCCACTAGATGCGTACTAGCCTCTGTAGTACCGAAAATTGGTGTTGGGAATATGGCTGACTGAGAGGAGCTACATGGAGAAACGTTACAAAAATAAACTGTTGTTGAGGGAAGAATCACATGGTGGGATTTTGATCCACAAAGAACACTTCATAGGTGCCTGTTGTAATTTCAGACAAGCATTGCTTTGTTTGTTAGCTGTGTCTGTGATGCTCATTTTAGCGTTCTTAGGACGTTCTCTTCCCCTTTTATTTGTTATGGAAAATCATGTGTGCAGTTGTTTTGCTTTTAGTTACTTCTCTTTCTTTTGTTGCTGTAGATGGGTTGCCTATGATAAGGAACGCTACAAAGGCCGTCAGTACTTGCTGGAGGAGGGAGATTATGAAGACAGACACTCATGGGGGGGAACTGACTGTGTCCTCCTGTCTTTCCGGTTCCTTCAGGCTGTAAGTACTTTTCTGAATTTCACACAAATTATGCACGGTTCTATACATAAAGAGGAAGGTTATTCTTCGTATATGGTACAGCTGTCTTGGGTTTAGTCATTCCATCTTTTGCCCAAGTTCACTCTTATTCTTTTCCTACTTGCTGAAATTTAGACTGCACTGTATACATTGCAAAAGCAGAAGCAGGTTCTAAGTAGCCTTTCTAAAGTTCACACAAAGAATGTATCATGCAGAATTCCTTGTCTACCTGCCAGATTTTCCAAATATCTCACTTCTGCATTTCAAGCTATTTGAATCTCTAGAAGAGAATTTTTTTAAAAAGTGTACAGTGTAGTTCTTTATTAAAATAAAAATAGCTTTTCAACACAGCAGCTGTTGCAAGCCTTAAAACAGCATTACCCTCTGTCTCTGTGATTTTTGTGCCAGAAAATTTTGGCAGCAAAAATAATCATGGTGAAAAAATCCCTGCTACTAAAATGTGTTTGGTGGGGGAAAAGATGAAATAATAATAAAAACTATATGAGAATCCAATATTGGAAGCAAAGTTAGACTTCAGTGATGGGGGAACATGGGATTAGAACTTCTTTCTCATTTCCTCTGGTTTGGGGTTTTTTTGTTTGGGGGGTTGAAGATTTTTTTATTATAATAGGAACTCTGTGAGCTTTAAATACAGCTGCAAAGAGTGGCTTCTTTTGAGAATTATATTGTTCACTCTGAGATTACTCAGTCTTGTATACTCGGATTACTCATCTCATTTGAGGAGATGTGATATTTCTGAGCCAGGAATTTTGTGAAGTTTGAAGATAGGCATTTAGAGCAAACTCACGGTATCAACAGTCATTATTTAAAAAAGAGAAAGTTACTGTGACCTCCAAAAGGCCATGCTTAAATTCACAATTTGCAGTTTTGATTTTTATGAAAGGCACCTAGGAAAAGCTATATTTATAATCAGAATCTATCATATAACTTAAAATAAAGATAGGAGAATAAACTGAATTGAAGAAAAATGTCCTTCTCTAATTTATTTTCAGGTTTCTGGGAAAAACAGGCAGGAATTTTCTTCTAGCTCCTCATTTTGAATGTGCAGAATTCTATTCAATTACTGACTAATCTTAGTTTTTCTTTCTTTTCAACCTATACATAGGATACTTGAGTAACTTAAATAGATCTTTTTAAATCTTTCTCTTGGCAAAGGACATAATTACAAGCTTAAAATTGTGCACGTGCCTAGCAGGGATGACCTTCCACGTATATGCATGTATTTAGTTTGACTCATGCCTAGAACAGTCAGGATGCTCAAGTCATTAACATGTTAAAAACATGTATCATTCACACTCATATATCAACATACATCATTCAAATTGGCAGATAAATATATATCAATATGTACATACTGATAATAAAAGTGTAAGTAATACTTTTCCTCAAATTGTAGCATAACTAAAGGCAATGAGCTAGTTGCCAATAAAATGACTAATGGCACGGGCATTTTGTTGTTCGGCTTTGCCAACAGATTGACCGCCTCTCTCTGATGTGCAATACATAGGTCAGTGTTCAGACTTGTCATGTGCTCCCTTCATGACTTTGTGTATGATACTTAAGGTCAGGATTTTAAAAACATTTTAGTACCAAACTCCTGTTTTCAAGGGGACCTGGGCAAAAATCCAAAACTAGTTCTGTGTGCTTAAGGCCCCTGACTGCACAGCGAACACACTAGCTCTTCTCCATAATCTCAGAAACTCGGTCAGGAGAAGTGCAGTAAAGATTGCAATGGTCTCGGACTCCACAGGGATGTTCCTGGATATCAGATCTCTATTGCTCTTCCCTAGAAATTCTGTTTTAGTCAGATGAATTCAAGAGTCTCTGTAGAAGATTAAGGATTTTGTGAAGTTGCATTATTCATGGTCAGCTTAGGTAGGGAGTGGGGCTGGGCATTGGCCCTGCTCTTTATAGGTACTCACCTCTGTAGTCTCATGATAGGGCCAATCCAACTAGACTTCTTTTTTTTTTTTTGCTCAGGCGTGACACCAGGTGACCGTGACTGTTTTGGCTTTAAGGGCAGCCCAGACCTGAAAACAATTTAACCTGGCTCACACTGTGTGAAGCTGAAGCTGATGAGCCCTGTGTACCTGAGTCAGCTCCAGGCAGAGTCGGATCAAATGTCTTTGTGCCGTGCTCCCAAAACAGGGAGCATGGTACAGAAGCACGTAAATGGCTCTGCAGAGAGCCAGGCTGGGTACGGCGTGCCTCATTAGCCTGTGTCAGTACCGGCTCTGTCAATGTGGCTTAGTACTATGCAAAGCTATTCAGATGTTCCTGCGCCACGACTCTCAACATGACAGGTTCCACCAGAACTTACTAGCGCTAGGAAAATCCAACCCATGTTTCTGTGACTGCAGTTGAGCTGAGGCATGAATTTAATTTCCTGACAAATCAGAAAGGTTAGACATCGCACACAAAAGAGGGTTTGTTGCAGGTCACCCCTCCCCACCCACTGGTGAAGATATACATTCATGTAGACATACTGCAAGAGCTTTCAGTTTTTGACTGTCTTAAGTATTTCAGCTGTGAACAGTCACAAGCTCTACTGTGGGGATTCGGGGAGTGTTCAGAAAGCAGAGATAGAAAGGACGAAATGACTCGTCGAATTGTTTTGTCCAGCCTACTGCCAGCTCTGTTATCAGCATCTATACTGGACACACTGGAGTACACAGGGCTTGTTCCTGAGGGCAGACAGCAGTTTGGTTTGGGGGACAGTTGCATTTGCTTCTTTTCTGCAGTGGCAAATGAGAGAATCTGTGAAGCTGGGGTTTGCCCATGGCTGTCGTGATCAGAGAAAGAGCGAAGTTTCTGGATCTCTTTCAGTGGAGCAGAGTATGTTGTCTTTGGAGCTTTCCCACTAATGTTTTCAAGTCTAAAATGATTTGCCTTGGTCAGAATGTCTGTTTTTAAGTATTTCTCCTATTGCTTGTTGTAAGAGAAGCTGTAGTGAAAATTTAGGGAGGAAAAAATGATGGCTGAATTTGAAACGTGTTTTAAATGTAATTACAATTGTGGATATATTTCAGTATTTTAAATTTAGTCAAAGAAATTGTGTGCAGATTTGATCTAAGTGGCTTTTCAGGAACTCTTGCAAAGTCCTTGCTTTAGGACTGTTAAGAGTAGCTGTTTTTCATTTGCACTAAAACTGCACTAGTAGTTTGGGGGGGGGGGGGGGGGGGGTGTGTGTGTTTTGTTTTGTTTTTTTCTTTTCTTTTCTAAAAACTAGCCTGAAGCTGCAGTTGTTCATGATGATTTTGCCAGACCTGGCACTTTAATTTCTAGTGCGTACCTGAAGTAGTTGCAACTTTTTAAATAGATAAAAGATGATGGTCAACATAGTAGGAAAACCAGTTTTACTACATAATTTGTTCTGTCACTTTTTAGTGTCCTGTAAAGAATGCAGAGAGGTTGAGCCACATCAAGTGTTCGTTCTAAAATTGGTTTTCATTATTCATTGTGATTGAATCCTGTACAAAGGCGTGGTGTCCTCTAAAGAGCGTGTTTGATCAGGTTCACCTGACCAAATGAATCTGGCTGCATGCTTGGCCTGGCCTTAATTTCTAAGTGTTTTTTGATTGTTGTAAGTCTTTGTTTTCTCAGAGTAGCCTTCAGCATACTGCTCTCTGGTTGGTAGCTTGTAAGTGATACAGCAGCAAGTATTCAGTGTAATAATTCCTGTCACAGTGTCCTCATATGTTTGTGGATCTATGTCGGCTCCTGTATTTGCTTGATAGCCTTTCCTCTTGTTTGCAAGACTTACTTATTTTCAACTTACAACACTGCTGAATGTTTCAGCAACACTGAAATTGAATTGAGTTCATGCTTTTTGTTAAAAGTTAAAGGAATAAAGTGAATGGATTGTTGTTTTCCATTTTCCCAAGCAGTGACTGAACTGTGTGCTTAAAATTGCTAAGTGGTTAAAAAGCTGGAGATTTGAAACCCAAATTAAAATAATCTGAAGCTGCGCAAGTAATCAAGTCAAGCAACTACACTAGCTGAAAGCATAAAGCAGTGTCAAATGGCTGTGTAAGAGAGAACATGACAGTGTCATGCAGGATTTGTCTTACAGCTATAGTGATTAGTCATACAATGGATGTATCCAAAACCTACAAACCCCTTGTGCTGAAAAGGTGATCTTCCCCAGTCTTCTCCTCTCCATGTTTATTGCCTTGTCGCTGGGGAGAGATGAGGAAGGAAAACTTTAAGTAAAAGACTATAGTCATGGTAATGCTTGGAGTAGTCATTTGTGAAGCTGTTGGAAGATCAGTGCTAAATCCCCAACCCTTCTCTTTCCCACACAGGCATCTTTGCACTCTCCGTCATCCTCGTAGAGAAAAGGATGGTGCTCAGGGGCAGCAGGTTCTTTCTCTGAAGGCCATATCAGGTTGCCAGGCTTCTAGCTAGGCACTTCACTGCCAAAATATCCTGTAAAGATCCACACAAGGGACCTAAGTCCCTTCACTGCTTTATAAAACACTATCTTTCAGGCTACAACTCTTTCCAAAAATATTTTATGTTTTGAGGTGTCACTAAGCTGTGACAGCATGTCTTCTAACTCCTGTGCTGCCTCTTAGGATTTCATAGAGTCATCAGTGGCACTTTTTCAGTCTGATGATGAAGATGGGAAAGCATTAGACATCGTCAATGAAGAAATCCCTGATTTGGAGCAGGCTGGATTTGGCCCAGAGACGAGGTCGATTCTTGTGAGGAGTGGAGTGTAAGTCTATTGAAATATATGGATGGAAGTATTAAGTATTTTTGTGCACAATTGGGTTTGGGTATGTTTTTTGAGAGAATATATTTCACATGGTACAGGTGATAAACATTTGGGGGAGAACAGTGTTTCTTTCAGTTTCCTTGGTAAATGGAAGAAAAAAAAAAAATCTCAGTTTTCTCTAAATCTCATGCTTACACCTTGATTTGGATCTGGGAATTCTTGTTACTAGAGAAAGCTTGTGATGTCCTTCCAGAGGTCTCACAGACTGTAGTTTCATGATACAAGAGCTTTGGCAGTAATACAGAAGAGGGATTTTAGGTATGTTAAGAACTGGAATACCTTTTGGGACAGGTGGAGCCTGTACAGAAAGGAGGAGCTGTGCCTTATTCATAATAAAGTCAGGCTGCTGGCCTGACTGAAAATTAAAATACTTTTTAGAGAACTGTTTAAACTAAAAGCAGGGGTTAAACCAACAGATGTGGAAGAGTACCTGGTTCAAGTTGATACAGCCTGCAGGGTAGACTTGGCTAACTTTCGGTGTGCATATGTGAAGTCCAGGAGAAAAATAAACAGCACAATTGCAGTAAGTAAGGAAGGTAAATTAGACTGCCTGCAATGTCTGGTGAAGGAAATATGCAGTATTAACTGGTGGACCAAGGACAAAACTTAAAAGTGCTAGAAGCCTAAGAAATAGTATGGGGGAACTAGCATGCTTGGCATGGAGTAACAGCTCTGATATAGCAGATACTGCAGAGTTTCATAGGAAGGATAAGCAGAGGAGCTACCAACTCTGTAGGAATTATAGAGTAGGCTATTATGGGCAAGGGAGTGGTACTGTACGTGAAGAATGATATCAAGTGCTAAAACATAAAATACGTTATGGGAAAAGAGCACTATGGAATCATGTGGGTGGACATTCCAGACTTTAATAGTCATTTTAAAAGTGCAGTATTAACATCGTCATACCTACCCTAATGGTGATGGTGATAGGGATCAGCAACCATTAAGTGAGACTAAAAAAGCTTCAAACTTAGGACAGGTAGCAATAGCGGGGGATTTGAACTGCTCATGTAGAGACTGGATATTAGTGTCTTATGAGGATGAGATACAAGGATGAAAGGCTGGGACTCAATTTGGAGAAGAGATGGCTGAGGAGGGATACGAATGAGATCTGCAAAATCCTGAAGGCGGAGGACAAGCTTAATGCAGCAGCGTTCACAGAATCCTGCATGACAAGAATTGGGGGATGCTTTGCACAACTATCTGAAGATTGCTTTAAAACAGATTTAGAGGTGGGGAGCAAAAAGCCTTTCTTACACCGGAGGCAGTGAATTTCTGGAACTTGCTGCTGAAGGAGGCTGTGGTAGCAGATAGCACTAGGAAGTTTAAAAAAGTATTAGACAAATTAATGACAGACAGATTCATAAATGGGTGCTAAAAGGACTAGGAAAGGAGATGCCCTCTAATATCCCTAATATAACGGTCCCGGGTGCTGGGTCACTAAGAGAGGAACAAACCACCAAAAGTGGCTAAGTTAGTGGCGTCTCTCTAACTAGCCTCCCCCTACTTGTGCCACTGCCAAAGAGCGTGTTGAAGGGCTAGAGGGACCCTCGGTCTCACGTAGTTGGGGGTTTCTTTCTTCTTAAATCGCAACAGAGAAAGCAGGATGGGAGAAGCTTGAACTGCCAACTATTGCAAGCTTTTGCTTTGTCTCATCAAGGCTTCTTCACTTCTCTTTCTTCTTGCACCATTTTTCTTAAATCCAACTGGAAAAGTTGGAAGAAAGCCCTGTCTGGGCGTATGCTGAACAGGTAAAGATTCAGCTGAGAGAGATTCAGAAACTTGTCAGTTATCTTTCCTCTGGGCTTCTAAGCAAGGCGTCATCTCACGCTGAATGTATGTTTGATGGAAAGGCAGAGACCCAAAGTTGTGTGTTTGTCGAAGTAGTGTTTGCAAAGTAAAAACAGAAAATCAAGTATGTGACAATTATACCATTGGGCCATTGGGTTTAATGTTACGCTGTCTGTCAGATGGACTTACCAAGAAAACTCCAAAGAATATTGTTCTATTTAACTTGTTAGTATTTTCTTAAAACTACACAGAAAAATGTGATGGTTTCAGTTTAATTTTTATGTCATTCTCCAGGTGGGTCGCATATCAGCAGAAATATTTCTGTGGAGAACAATACGTATTGGAGAAAGGAAAATATAAATGTTTCTTTGACTGGGGAGGATCTAGTAAAATCATCATGTCAATTCGACCTATTAAGTTGGTGAGTTACCAGAACTTGTTAAGGGGAAAACTTAAAAGAAATGAGACCTTTGGATTTCAGAGCGTACAATAACATTATAATGTGGGCTGTGCTGTTTAATCAATTTGTCTGTTTGCTTGGAAACAATTTAAAGACCCTTGAGAATGACATAATGAGTCTGTTCAGGATGGAGACTGAAATGTATGCTCTGGATCTTTCTATCTGTTAAGAAAACTGTCAGGGAAACTTCATAAGAACTTCACTTCGGCAGACTGTGTTCAGGATGGAGACTGAAATGTATGCTCTGGATCTTTCTATCTGTTAAGAAAACTGTCAGGGAAACTTCATAAGAAGAACTTCACTTTGGCAGACTGCATTCATGGAAAGAATAACCTGGCCTGGAAAGATTAATTTGCCTTAAAACATAGTAATTTATAATGCCTAATTGATAATGGATATAAAAATACTTGAGAATTTATCTGGCCTGTATTGTTGTTGTATAATAGAGGTCTGGTTGTTTTTTTTTCCCCCCTTATGCTAAAATACTTGTCATACATAGTGAATAAAGACAGGAAATATTTTTAATCCATTATTAAATCCAAGGTAGTGCAACTTCCCCAAATAGATTAGTGCCAGAACTGTCAAAACCCTAATGCAAAAAAAAGACAATTCTTACTAATAAGTATACAATAAATGATACTACTGCACTGAAAGTAAGAGAGGAACATTTCACCTTATTTTGAAGAGCACGTGTTCAAAGAGGTGTGGCAGTCATCTGTTGTTTTTAATTCTGTCTTTTTTCAAGACATAGACCTAAAGATAAATGCAGAGACATTTACATGGACTCTAATCCACATTATGTCAACTAATTAATGCTGATGCAAGTTTTCTCTGTGAAAGGCACTGAACAGTTAGGCAGGTAGTTGTGAGCTTACAGGCAGCTGATGACAGAGGCTGGTGAAGAGAATTGTGCCAAGAGCCTGGGAACTGTGTTTTTCTGTGCTCTTGAGTTCATAACTAACAAATTTCAGGAGCTTGACATGTCTTCTAGGAAATAAATTGTAATTAATTTTTTTTATTTATATGCATGTGTATCTATTTATTATTGCAGGAACCGCTTGGAACGAATGAGCCTCCACATTTGGTATGTTGACATTATAGTACTAAACAACATTTAATAATAAAATACAGGTAATCTTGAATGTCTTGCTTTGTTACTTCAGATGGTATCTCAGTGTTATCATCTCCATACAGCAGACCATTGATGGAGGAAACTGGTAGATGTATAAAGGTTAAGTTTGCTAATGTTCTGCTCTTTATTCCAGATCATGCCCTTTAGTATTCTGTCCTCAAAAATGCAAGCAGTTCAGTAGGTTTTGAGTGACTTTGGGTCTCTATAGCTATTTATTTTCCTCTTCTTTCCTTCCTGTTTCTGGAAACTCACAATCACATGCATTCATCCTTCTCTTTGTGGCATATTTTCTTTCCATTATTTTGCATTGTATCTTGTTTGTCACTGTCTTGTTCATGTATGAGGTGAAGAAGAAAGTATAAACTGCAGAAAATGGAACGGCACTCTTCAAACCTGCAGATGCATCAGCAGGGGAAGTTGAGTTTTTTAGTGTTGTATGCTGGTAGCTCTGCTTTTCGTGGTCTCCCAAGCATGTATAGCCGCTCCTTAAGGAGCTCCGTGCTTCACTTTTCCTCACAGTAACATATGGCCTTAATTGAATACGTCCTGATTATAATAAATCTATGATAAATCTCTTCTACGATACATTCTGACAATTTCCCTGAAAGTTGTGTCTAACTAAAGTTGTGTTGGTGACAACTTATAAAGAGAAAGCGGTCCCTATAATTCATTTTTAGTCTCAAGAACGAGTTAGTTTAGGGTTTTACACTTTTGCCCTTATCTCACAAGGTTATGTTCCATTAATGTACCTTTGTGATATCTTTCTAAAACAAAAACCTGCTCTAAGTGTTTGTGCTCATCACCAAGCATGGTCCATGTCTCCCGCAAGGTTCTGTCCCAACAAGGTTCTCCTCCCTTCCTGAATTAGCTGTTCGATTTCTCTTTTTTTTCCTGGAGTGTGCTGCTAGCACGGGTGATGATCTAAGTGGTTATATTGCTCTCTCTGTGACATGCTTTTAATTAAGCAAATTTGGAAAACTTTATTTCAAGAAACATGATGTTTTTTTCAGACAAAAGAGACTGTAGAGCTCAATGGTTCTGTTTCGGAAAACTTAAGTATTTTGTCATCTGGACACAATTTTGCTCTTTCTTGCTTGGATGGGTATAATAGCCGTAAGCGTGTGGGAAATACATAGTGTTACTTAGCAGGTTGACCACACCCTTCTTTTTCTCCAAGTATTCTAGTTCTACAATTTTATGATTAACCCAGGACTACAGGAAATGTTTCCTGTTTGAAGACATAGTTGGTGTATTATTTTAGTCTTAAACACTGATTTCCTGCCAGACCTATTCATACGGCAGTTTGTGGCCAAATCCAAAGACTTGCAAGTACGTTCACAGTAAGGCCTTGGTAAATGATACCAGATAAAATAACCGACTCAGAGGAAACCGGTGGGATCGAAACAGTTGAAGATAATTTTCTCTCCATCTTCAACACTTCTATTTTTTCAGGATCTCCCAAAAACTATTCTTTGAGTGCTTTAATCCAGTTTTTCACACCTTTAGGATCAATTCAAACCTTTGAAGTTTCAATGACTTGTGCTTTACAGTCTTTTTTCCCCAGTAATATGTGAAAAAAACTGTGTGTGTATATATTGCACAGTCACCTTTAAATACTGACATGTACTAGGTTATGTTTTGCCTTTTGTGTTCTCCAATAGCAGTCTTAATACTGTTTGTAGAAAATACTATCCTGATTTATCACAATCCTGGTTTTCGTAGGATTCTGCCCTAAAGCTAGGGAAGGAAGAACATCATTCATATTGGTACAGTTCTTTTAGGAGAAGAAATATTTTGAGTAAGTTTTTATGGGAAAACATTTAATCACTTAGGATAAGTAAAGGACAGTCTATTGGATGAATATGAAGAATTTCCCATTCAGAGTAAAGTAAAAGTTTCCATGTATGCGACAGTCTCTTAGTTTGGAACTTCAAAGCATGGTGTGTGTAAGCTGGCAAATCCTGACGCATCTTAATGTTTGACCCTTTTGTAAGCCATATACCAGTTATTTTGAATGATTATGCATTCTTCCACCTTTAATAAACATATGTCTGAGCTAAGGGAACTGTTCTCACTGTCTACAAGAGTCTTTTTTTCACTTCTGTTTTTAGTTGCTCGTCAGAAATTGAAAAGCAACTACATTTTCTTATATCTCTCAGTAACTCCCCTGACCTTTTCCTCCTGCCAGGCTCCCTAATAAACAAAGTACGTATAATTTAAGAATGCCTGAAATCACCAACTCTAAAAAGCCATTCATTTTATTTATTAAAAATAAAACTTGGTTTTGCCCACCAAGAACAGAGCCTCTTTCAATAGCAGCTGATTTGTACAAATGATTTAGGAAGCAGAGATAATTGCTGTGATAACTCGTATTTGTATTTTAACATGCTGTCCGTTGACTTTTTAGGAAGCGAAACATCGTATAGTTTTGTCAAACCCTGACAAAGTAGAGGGTGCTGCAGTTTGAGATTTAATTGCAGATATGCAATGTTTTCACTGAGGAGTCAGTACTTCACCCCAGCTTTTGTCAAATTAAGACCATCATTCATCATTAGATGTGTTCTGTATAAAAATGAGTTATAGATCTTTTTTAAAAGCCTTGCATAGCATCTGGCCTATGAAAGAAAGACAGTGTGTATATATATATTCCTTTATAAAGAGCTTTGAGATAAGTGGGTAGAAAATACTATGTAATTACAGCTTAAATATATGGTTTGTGACATAGCAGTGCAATTACATTTGCAGAAAAATCAGTTACACTTTATTCATTATACTGTAGCTGATTTGTGTTCTCCAATTTGCAGTTACAGCATGCAAGGCCAGGTTAAGCCTTTCTTGTTCTTTCTAACAGGAAACCTATTCATTTATTTTAAAAACATAGACTGAGCTTTTCCATAAAATCATTTGCTGATACTTGTGTTTGGCCTTCTTGCTGTGTCCTGGCAAAAGCATTTGATTTCTTTTCTTTGGCAGGAAGCTAGGCCAATTTGGGGCATGAAGGGGGAAGTAGCTCTTGCAACAGCCATCGTGTTTTTCTTCCATTACAGAATATGAGCTGTTCTCTTGATACAGTTAAGTTTTTCATTCTTTTCCAGCCTCTCTTTCAGGCTTTAAAGTGAAATTCACCTCAGTTACACAGTGGCGGCCCAAGGGTACAGAATTCTGGGCGACTTTGCTCTAGATCATAGGCTGTGTCATACTACTTTTTTTCCTTTTTTTTCTTTCTTTCTCTCTTTTTCTTTTACTGCAACACTTTCAACCTTACTGCTTTTTCAGGGTGAATTGATCATATCTTACTGGTGGGGTATGGTTCAATGTGGCTTGAAGTTCTTCACTGTGACATGTAAAACCAGCTTAGCTGAACTTCAGAAGTTCATAGTACCTCTCCCAGGCTGTACCCAGTTCCCCCAGAAATTCTCCTGCTCATTCTTGAATGAGAAACTACCTATGATCACTGTGGTTTCAGAAGATTTCAAGACACTTTGTCAACAGTAGCCCTGTATCTTTTGACCAACGCTTCCCTGCCCTGTTTTGAACATTGGATTGCTGAGCTGCAGCAAGAGTTGGCTGCAGTTCAGGGGTGCTTTGGATGGAAAATAACATCCTTCAGTCCTAGCTTTCTCTTTTTCTCTGGGCCCTCTGCTGCTGCAGTTGAACTTATGCTTGATACCACTGCCTTAGCATCACTGGGAAGCATCCTGAACCAGGCCCAGAACTTATCTTTCTAAAAATAAAGCAGCTGTGGAACTGTAAAAGATTCCTTAAATGAGAATTCATTCTATGTATTGTACCTTTGTGAATTGAATGGATACTTCTCTAAGAGCACAGCTATCTCTGTTTACATTAATGATAATGCGTTCCTTTTCCTTCTAGTCATTGGTTTTGTTTTGTTTTGTTCTTGTAGCTCAAAGCTTTCAGTAATACACATTTCCAAGGAGCATGTATAGATTTCACAGCAGAAGTTTCTGATTTTACATCATTCATACCATGTTCTTTTAAGGTTCTTCGGGGATGGTAAGTATGTTTTACATGCCACCATTTTAAGTAATATGAACATTTTTTTAAATGCTACTAAATTTCAGTCAGCTGAAAGTGCATAACACATGCCCATCATATTCCATCATTTCTTAGACCCTTTGTCTTGCAATGCATCTCAGTAACTGTCGTCCTGTCATTGGTTTGGGTAATACGCATTTTGCTTTCCCTGTGGGAAGTTTGCACAGTTACTGTCATTCTTTTTTTAACTCCAGTTAGAATTTATTCCAGATTTTGAGAACTTGGTTCAGTAGAAGTGTCTGCATTCCACTCGCGTCGTTTGACTCTGGAACTGAGATTTCTGTACCACATGATTTGATTTTGCTGCGTTGGTTGCTTTGTCGCATAGCCTTTCAAGTAACCTTACTTTTAAGCTTAAGAAGAACAAACCAATTTTTTATTCCTTATTTCCTTAGCAAATATTAAATCTTGAAAAAAACTTACTGTTAATACGCAGCTAGAGCAGCTAATCTTTTTTTACATTATTCTTGCAGTTGGCTCCTGTATTACCAAGGGGAAATCACTGACAATCACTGTGTGCTGGAAGAAGGCCTCTACGTTGACCTCAGTTCCTGTGGCTGCCCGACTGCTACAATCAAATCCCTCAAGCCTATTCAATATGTAAGGACTTTATTGGAAAAAAAAAAAAAAACATCAAACATTTTGGAACTCTTTCCTAGTCAGATGTCTGAAGAAAGTGCTTGCGCTAAACAAAGTCCCACTCAGGGAAAAGAGTGAAGTTTGTTTTCTTGGCTTACGGGATTTTTTGGGTTAGGAACAAGCCAGGCTGCATGTACGCATGCACATGGTCACTTGTAGGTGCACGCTCTTGGGTGTTCTGGGCTCAAAGTTGCTCTCTCTTGTACGAGTTGCATTGGTTGGCATTTTTCTGTCTTTATAATACAGCTCAGCAAGCTTAGTACGCAGTGAGACATTTTGTCACACCATCTGAGCATATGGGGCTTCTTTTATTAGGCCTACAGCCAAGGTTCAGTCTTAAAGCAAAGTACACACAGAAGACATGAAAATTGAAATTACACGGTAGCGTATACTTGCCAGAATGCTGTTTAATTTACTAACTATTTTACAGAAATAGAAAAAAGGCTTTCACCTCCTAAGGGGATCTCAAATCATGGGTCAGTAAAGTGGTATAATATACCACGCATGTGGCCTGTGAGCTGTGTATGACACATCAGATAGTCCAGTCCAAAGGTCATGTAGCCATCCTCTCTCTTGGTGACTTCTGAGGTACAGGACAAGTCCTTATTACACATGCATATAGTCTTCATCTGACTTTCGGGTCACGTCAGTTTTACTACCCAAGCACACAGCTGACCTACTGTAGCAGTAAGTCAGTAAGTAAGGTGAGATATGAGTTCCTCTATGGCCAGGAGATTGGACAGGAATCATCCAGTACAAGATAGATACAGCCTTTTGTACATCCTATTGTAATCCTGCACACAGGAAATATGCCTCTGGAGTCTTGCTGTCATGTCTGCGCCTTTGTCCCATATCTTGGTATGCTCCTGTGCAAGAGCATCGAAGATAAGCTGGCCATAATGCTGTTGGTAAAAGAGAAGCAAGTGGCAGCTCTGCCCACTCCTCTCTAGCACTGACCAGCTTCTCCAAAACTCTTCCTCCTCTCCTGGTCACAGAACACAAACTCAGTCTATGTGACATGTGCCCTTCAATGTACCTCTTACGAAACTAGACTTTAAAGATTACTCAATTCAGTTTTCTTCAAGTATTAAGTCCTTTTTTTCCATTTGTGACAGATTTGGGGGGGTAGGGGGGTGGGGGGAACAGCGGGGGGGTGGAGAGAGAACAAAACAAACAAAAAAACCAAACCAAAACAAAAACAACAACAAAAAAAGAAAAGAAAACCAAAAACAAACAAAAAAAACCCCAACCAACACCCTTCTAAAAGCCATGGGCGTGGTGGGAAGGGTGTACAACTCGAGTTCGAGAGCTGGTCTTTCCACTAGGTACATAGATACAGTGACTTCAGTGGAGCTGTAGCTTCCCACCTGCTGAGAGCCTGGTTTTCAGATTAAAGATCTCCTTTTCACATTACGCTTTTGGACTCTGCTCTGCTAAATCAGAGTGAAGTTTTGACATGAAATGGTAGGTCTCATCCAAATCCCCCAGCCTATTATCTCACAAGGAGGTAACTATGCAGTTTGGCATAGTAGGAAGCTACTGGCAGCCCTTGATTAGGGAGGGCCAAGCCCTGGGAGAAGTGTGTTTGGCAGGCTGCATGTGGGGAGCTTACACGTGTCTTCCTGTACTTTGTAAGTGGCTTACACCTCTTAGTTCAGTTCCTCTCTTGCAAATAGGAGCCCTTGTATTTCACAAAATTGAGGCACTAAACAGCATGAAATGCTATTGAACCACACCTGTTTTACAAATAGAAATGCCCCCGTCGGCCCCTCACACATTGTGTACGCTAATCGCACAGGACAGTGCTCAGAGGCATTGTGTAGTACAGACGTGATGTTAAGCACGCAGCAGTAAGTTTGGTCAGTGGTCAGAAACAGCCGTAGTTAATTCTGTGCATTGTCCGCAATGCACTGTTCTTGGAACAGAGCCCTTTTTATTACAAGGTATTTCTGTTAGCTCATTCAAGAGAGCAGCAAGTGTATTCCCAAGTGGAATTGTTGTATAGCTTTATTGAATTCAGTTGTGTCATTGGGAACCCCTTCCATTATTCAGCTTTAAATACCAGCCCAATTTCAGACCTAAGGTGTGTATCTCGGTAGCTCACGTGTAAGAGGGAGAATGTTTAACCCCGACACCAAGCCCTGAATGTGCATTGTCTCCTGTTCTCCTTTAAGTGAGATGTATTTGCTGCAAGTGTAACTGTTGGAAGGGCTCTCACACCGGGGGGAGCCATGTATTGCTTTAGTGTGTGAGGTTTCTGCATTCCAGCTGTTGACTAGAAGTAGAGGCCCATGTGTGGTACTGGCAGAGGGGAAAAAAAAATATGCTTTTAGCAGTACAAGGGACTCATAAGGCTAGCTCATTACCAGCCTTTGAAAACAGTCCAAGTCTGTTGACTGGCGTAGGTGTGGTCCAGCTATGTATTTTAGAAGTAGATTGTTTCAGCCAGTCCTTTGGGATAGCAGAACAAATCTGCTGGAGGAAATGGGGACACGGGATCTGGGTATTCCCTTTCTAATTTGCAAAATTGTAATGATAATTAATTAAATGTTACCTTGATATTGTACAGCTGAGTGAAGTCCCAACTCTGGGTCTTTATCTGCAGGATGTATGTAAGAATATAGATTCTTTGTGTGGGGCTAACTCCATAGTAGCTGTGAAACATAGCAGTCAGCACAGGCCACTGACACCTGCGGGGTGTGCAGCTTGGCTGGGCATCCACACCGATTTCTGCACCTGGCCCTGAATCAAGATGCCCTTTCTGCTCCTATCTGTTCTAGTAACTAAAAGGAACATCTAGCAATGTTTTTGCTATTGCATGCAGCAATACCTTCAGTGTAACTTTCTGAGTTTTCACTTAAAATCTGTAATAGTTTTGAAAGGCTTTTTGGATGTTGTCAGCTGCCACAAGATTTCTAGGCTCTCCATTTTGGAAGGAGAATTTGAGGGTTAAAGTTACGTATTTGTAGTACTCCTTCACGGCATGGGTGTGCTTTTGTGACCTGACGGAACAACGCTTTAAGGTGGCAGTGGGATTTTTGTGACTGAGTAAGGTAACACTAATGCCTTAATCTATATGAAACAGCTAAGGACTTCTGCGAAGCCTTGACTGATTTTTTAGAAAATAGATCGACCAATTGAAAATAAAGAAAGGATTTGAGGGAATGTTTTTTTTTCTCTGGAAAATGCAGTTTTGATGCAAACAAAATATTTGCAAACAAATATAGCAAACGTTCTAAATGAAAAGACTGAGGATTTCTTTTAGGAAAGTAAACTTTTGAGTTTTTAGTTTGAAAATTGCCAGAAATATAAGTTGCTTGTTTAAGAGCTTAATTACATAACAAACTGAAGAATCTCTTTCTAAATCACTGAGTTGGCCCAATTAAAATAGAAAAAACCCAAAACTTTCAGAGCAACGCAAAATGAATTTGGATAAGAAAACAGGCTCAGACTAGCGATGGTAAGTATGGCATGCTACCCCCACCCCCTCCGCACACACACTCCCTCATTTCTCAAGAAATTCAAATTAACATGGTTCCACTTTGGTTATTTCCCCATTTATTATACACTGGCATCATAGGGGAATTAAGCACATCTTTGTAACCAGTTTCCTCTACTGTTTGTTGAGGAAGTAGCAAAGCAAAGGTTAGGCAGGTTCATAAGGAGAGTGGGGAAGGTGTTCCCTTCTTCCCAGGAACCTCTTTCCCATCTTGGCTTATTCTCCAAGGCGTATAATACTTGAACTAAATCTTTAGGAGGCCCTACCTGTATTTTTCCCTGCTGTTCCGTTTCGCTCAAATTCAGACTGGACTGTTTTGTCCTTCTGGGAGCATTTAGGAAAAGCTATAGGTTAACGAGAAAAAACAAAGAAGGAACAAAGCGTACCTGTACCTTGATAATGAGAAAATAATGTCCTTTGTTTTCGGTATTCTGGGAAGAAAAATGGTGTTGCAATACCCATGTATTAATCTAGATTTTATATTGAATAGCAATGTGTTACATGGCCTCTTCCCTTCTGAAAAGGGGAATGCTCCTGAAAGACCAGTAAGTCTTTTTCATGTACTATTTTATAAGTGTACATATAAGGGGAAAATATGCTAAAAAGGAATGTGTCACAGGAACGTATTTCTTTAAGTGAACAGGCAGTTATACTCTTTGGAAGCCCACTTAACATTAGAAGGATACACATCTATTTAGTAGTGGTAGGAGCACTGGAACTAATGTAACTTGCCTCTCATTGTCTCCTTTCATCTAAAAATCCCAAAGCACTCTTTAAGAAAAGCTTGTTGATGGAATTTGCTGGTATTGTTGTTAATAGCCATTCTGCAGGCAGGTAAAAGCATAGCACAGGTTAAGGGTTGCTGCATTTGCTGCAGGTTTCCTTGCCTGCATCAGCAAGGACTTGCCTTTTGCATTGCCATGAATTTATGAAGAGGAAAGTGTGGGCCGCTCACCCGGCGTCAAGAGAGCAGGTGAAGTCAGCTGGGCCATGGTTGCTTACTGGGGCATTTGTCCAGTGTTTGCTGCTTGAAGACGTTCATCTTTTGGGATAGAGACCTTTACAAGATGTTCTTACAATGGGGAGTTCAGCTCTAATGCTGCCTTTTCTCAGGCGTGTTGTTTTGTCAAACTCCCTGTAATATTTGGTGTGACTTACATGGACGAGAGTATCCAGGATTGTTGGAGTGAGCAATTAGTTTTCCTTCTAAAATGTTAACTTCAGCCCTAAGGTTAAACCAGTCTCATAGTTTCTAAAAGCAAAAATGAGATCTGGGTTGTAGGTTGTGCAATGGTCTGTCTTTTTTTTTTTTTTTTCTTTTTTTCTTTCCCCTTTCCTTTTCTTTTGAGGCATTCCTTATTCTTGCTCTGATCAATCATGATAGTTCTAGCATTTCTATATTGATTATCTTTTCTAAGTTAAATACAGGTGTTAAGTAATCTCCCCAGCATTCCCACAAGGCAAATAATTAAACTGGATACAAAAATTAATCGGTGTTTCCCAGGGCCAGGCAATGAGTCATTTTGTGTAGCTGGGACTGGACCGTGGGTGTTATGTCGTCCAGCACCGTCTTCCTCTCCCTCAGCCAGGCATCCTTCCCACACTGAAGGGAGTAGCCAGGCGAGCGCAGCTTCAGTACAGACAGTTGTAAATGATGAGTTAGCCAAGACTGAAGAGTAAAGATTTTTCCAAGGATGTTGTAATACAGCTGTGGAGTCTCCTCAAGTTAAGGCTCTGGCGAATGCTGTTTGCCTAGCAACAGGTCAGCAGGGACGGACGCCAAGTGGGGAAATGCACCAACCCTTGCCATGACTGGGTTACAGTCCTGCTTTACTCCGGCCCCATGGATTTCTTTCTTTGGCTTTATTAGGCTTTCCCATCAAAGTTTGCAAAATCTAAATTTGCAAAAAAGGTGCGAGGAAAAATATGTTTTGGGGTGAGCCCTTCTCCAAAGGGCTTTATTAGTAATAATTTTCACAAAATTCATAATGAAAAATTACCCATATGTTATCCATAGCTAAAACTATACTTGTTATTATAAGCATGTGTGCAAATTCACTTGTGCACTTGGTTTTCAGTTGTAGCAGCTTTTGGTTAGCTTCTTCGTGTCTGTACACTATTGCTTTTCAGTGGGTTAAGCACCTAAGCCTTGCACTGCAAACAAAAGGCATTTGAAAGGAAGCTCATCTTGCACTGATCTTTGTTTAATATCAAACACTTCAGGCTTGCCTTGCATTTTTTTCTGAACTGGTAAAGTATAAAATTCGGTTTGGAATTGTGAAAAATTTGTGGTGCACAGCTTCTGTCTGTTAAAAAAAGGTGGAAGTCATTGAGGGGAAAGTCTGAGCTGAGTTTTGAACTGTGCAAGATTTTTAGTATATTGATTTCCATGGCTTACCTTTCAGCCTCTGAAATCACACCATGGGAAGGGAAAAAAGCTGTGTCATTTTCATGGCATCACGTGCTGTATTAGCCATAGATTACCACACCTAAGTAAAGAATATCACTGTACTTAACAGTTCAGAAGGCTGCTTATATCTTGAAATGCTATGTAAATAGAGCCTTCCGTAATCACCGGCCTCTCGAATATATGAAATCTCTTCAGGTTTCTTCCTGGACACTGGCATTAAAAAACAGGACAAGCAAAACCTCTTGAAACTTTATTGGCGCTGGTTTAAGCAAGGCAATTAGTTCCTTAACGCACAAAGATCAGGTTAAGTAATTCTTTAGTGCTTTGTCATTCTTGCAATTGGCAGGCTTTCCCCAAGGGATGGCATTTCAGGTATTTTCCTTGAAATAACTATGAAAGGAAGCTAAGGTAATCCTGACCTAGACATGGCAATGACTTGCCAGTTGTGGGTAAATGTAGATGTCTTTGGCTCACCTTTCAAAATCGGGGGCTGGGGTCCACCTAAAGCAATCTGAGGTTGTCCCCTGTTGTATTCTCTTCCCCGTTCCTCCCTGGGCTGTCAGGATTGGGCCTTGGTGAAGAAAGCTGAGCCTGTCAGTCTCACACTTACCTGTCGGTGATGACTCTTCAGCCTGAAAACGGGTGAAAGGGCACCGCAGCATTCTGCAAGGAAGGGTGGGAGCAAGATGCCTCTGTAGTAAGTGTAACAGCATAGCCTCAAAACCTTGTTTTTTACTGTTGGTAGTTTCCATGGAGCTATGAAAACAAAATCAGAGAAAAAAGCCAGGCCAAGTCACTGCTGCCAGCTGTTGGTGTAAAACGGTATATATAAAGTGAGTAATCACCTCATTGCTCTATATATGGTTATGGAAATATGAGAGCTTCAGTGCTTGAGACAGCAGCATGTTTTCTTTTTCTGTGCTTCACGTCTGTGCCAAGATCAGTGGAGTCCTTCTGAGGTCTCACTGGAAAGGTGATATCAGTCTTTGTGATCGGTTGTGTGTGTGTGTCATAGATGCAATGTCTGCTGTGTACTGACGGGCTGGGACCCTGAGCAACCAGGCAAGGCTTTCTCAGGCCCGCTGAGTTCAAACAGTCTCAGCCACATGAGAGCTAGTGTGACTTCACCAATTTGCTGTTCTGATTCTTGGTATATAAATGGATATGCCGGGTCAGATGACTTGTCCATCTAGTACAGCATCCCTGTCTCTTAACATATTGAATATTGCCATAGCAGGATAAATTTTAGGCTTGGGTAACAATGTCTAACAAGAAGGATGCCAAATGGTGTTCCCATGCTTACTAATACACTTGTGAAAATTTTCTCTGTTGGATCTGTTCTGGACATGGCTTCTGGTCTCCACTCAGGTGAAAGCCAGCGCCAAGGGAGTAGGCTCTTGCGAACTGGAGTGTGATGATACTGCCTTGCTGAGCAAAGCAACCTGAGAAGTAGCTGCCTGCACTAGGTCTGCTGGTCTAGATTTCAGTGTAAGCCTTTACACACTGTAAATTACACACTGTAAATTTGACCCACCTCATCCAGCAGAAGGCAGATGGGAAGAACTGACATTCCAAAATAAAAACGTTATGGGTTTTAATCTCTTTCTGTTCTGTAACATTAGTTTTTTAGGCGTGCAGTGGGCTTTAAAAATCTCTCCGGGCAGATGATCCCAGACTCTTCTTTAAAATGTCTCAGCAAACTCCCTGTCCGTGCAGTGTTTCATGACTTACGTTGTCCCTGCACTGGTTGGCAGAGGAAAGCAATTTCTCTGAGGCAGGATTTGAACAACCGGCTACATACCAAGTGGACAGAGTCAGTGCCAGTGAATTTGTAAGTCCTGAATCGCCACTAAGGTCTTCAGAGACACTTCACTACAATACATGTGCCTCTTCAAACATGAAAGTTAAGTTCTCTTAATTACACCGTGCCTGTGTCACCTTTAATTTAATTAATAAGATTTTGTTTCATTCATTCCACCTGAGGCCATGTCTTCGTTGCAAAAGAAATCCTACCTTTTGCCAGGGCCAGCTATCTCAGGGTGACATCTCCTAAGAACAAGGTGACTTCCTGGGGAGGCTGCTAATTGAAGAGTTATTCAGACCTACTCCCTCTTCTGTTAGCAGCTGCATCAAGATATAAATTACAAGTGCTTATGATTTTGGTTATGTACTTCCCTTACGGTTTTAGGTTAAAAATGCTGAAAAATTGTACAAGTGCTCTTTGCACTAAGGCACAGACTTCATGTATTGAAATCTGTTCCCTCTGTGCTTTTCTGATGATCTTACAGCTATACTGCATCTTTGTGCAAACTGATCTTTTTATTTGCTTTCATAGGCAATCTCTCAACTGTAGAAAAGGACATTAGGTGAAAAATGTTTCATTAGGTGAAAAATATTTAGGGTTACTAATTACATTATTTCTTCAAGATTGTCAGAAGAAAAATAGGAATGTCTGTTAAAAACATGGAGAACTTTTTAGTTCTGACATTTTTAACCTTTTCCAGTTTGTAGATCCCTAAGACTTTTCCAGTGAACCACTGCTAATTGAAGTCTATGGACAATAGACTTGTGATTTGCCTCACTACTTTAGATGCAATCTGCAGATCACCCTGAAAACTACTGCTGTAACCTGTTCCATCAATAAATAAATAAATGGGATTTGTGAAAAGGAATCAAGTCCCTGATGATACAAATCGGATCAAAAAGAGATTTTTCAAATACAAACAGAGGCCTCTCCACATCTCAAAGCGACTCACTGTGTCTGGCCTGTGTCAGTGGGGCACTATACTCTGATGAAAAAGCCACTGATAAATCCAGTATGTTTCAGCTCTGTGTCCTTTGTTGATGGATGTACTTTTTTTTCCTTGCTGTTACATTTGCTGAGGGAGCATGATCTAACCGAAAAGCATGTGGAAATTAAACTGAAGTGGGCAAATGTGTGCATCATGCTTAACAACTGAAGTTAGACTATTCCTAGTAAAACTTTGCTTTTTTTTCTCCTTCCCCCCGCCCCCAGGTTTTTGCTGAGCCCTCAATCAGTCTGTTCGCTCTGGAAGGCTGCAAGGGCAGAGAGCTGCACTTCAGTGAACCCATCAATTCCGTTTTGAATGAGGACCTTCATTTTTACACTCAGTCTGTATGGGTGAGAAGTGGATTGTAAGTATGGAAGAAATATTCTTGTCAGTTTTGCATTATAGGAGCTAATGCTGAGCATGCATTTTCTCCCGATTACTGCCTTTTTTCACAGGATGTGTTTTACATTTTAACTTTTATTTTGAGACAATATAAAATCCTAAAATGCAGTTGAATGGCTAGACCCACTTTTTGTATCAGGACACAAAATGAACAAAAACTCTGGGCAGAGGGTGTATTTCCCCCTGTAAGAATCATCCTTTTATTCCTGTACAGTAACGAACAATCGAGCCTGTTGTTCAAGCCAGGAACCAAAAGTAAGTAAGTTTTGATTGCTGACTTACAAGGACAGGTAGAGTAAACTCGGGACTGCCTTTATTAACTGGCTGTAAAATACCAGCTATAAACTGCAGTGATTTAACTTAAACCACTGCAGTGGTTCAGTGAAGCTTGACGTGCTGATCGGCTGCCAAAGAGGCAGCAACTTCTGAGCGAAGCTTGGGGCGGATCTGACAGCTGGAACAGTAATTTGCTTCTGTTGTTAGTTTAACCCCCCTCCATGAGTGTGAATACACACCCAGGGTCTTCTGTGAAAACCATTTTGAATCTGCAGAAGTGACCTTCTCACCTCTTCCACATCTCTCCCTTTCACCTTTTGGACAAATTCCCAAGTATTCTGTCTCGGCCAGGTTTTCACCTTCCACATCCACAGCAGCAACAAATAACTTGCAGAGTCTCATCCTGCAACTGAGACTGAGTGGAAACTGCTGTTCTTCTAATGTGACACACATTTCGTGTCTTTATTTTTAACATTTTCCCCACCTTTTTCACATAGACAAGGCTGTAATTTTCTTGAGAGATCTTATGGGATGACACAAAAACATGCAAAATTTGAACTAATTGGGCAAGGAATTAGTGTTGACTGTTCACGGCTTAGGTATATCTCTGTTGTGATTCTTACGATGAATTTTTTAAACGCATCTAGTCTGTTAACCACCTAGAAGTGAAAACCCTTGTACGGGTATCTGTGGTAACACTGCTGAGTGCTCCTCTTTGTACCAACCTTCTTTGAGGTTGGTACAAACGCTAAGCCTAACCTACCTAATGCTCCAGAGCACCGTGGATTGTTTTCTTTCAGGAATTTCACACAAGCGTTTTCTTTAAATGTTGGTTAAGGATTGACCCTCCCTTTAAAAGCAGTCAGTGGCGATTGACTTTAGCTGTGGGCTCATAGTGAATATAAGCTTCCCCACAAAGCTTTGCCAATTCTCTATAAATTCTAGACCGTAACATCTGTGCCACTTCCATCCTGAGCCCTTGCTGAAAATATATAGAGAGAGTGATCATATGCTGCTGTTGTCTTGAGGTGCCCCAGATGAGAGGGGCAAGCAGCTGCTGTTTGAGGCTGAGAACAGCATCCATGCATTCCCTGTGATCTGTGCTAGTTTGGAGGAGAAAAGGCCTTCTTTGGGAGGAGCACCTGACTTCTTTCTGGTGGGAGTGTGTAAATCCTCATACCCCTATGGAGGTGTTACGGTCTAAAGTGTGTCCTGTTGTGGAACGTCTCTTTATGAGCTTTCTCTGCCCTCTCATCAGGGGTGTGGAACTGGAAATTACATCACTTCGCCCGTGCAGTTGGCTGTAAAGGAAGGGTGATGGCTTTGGGACCACATAGTAGAAAAGCACGGGAGAGTGAGTGCAGCAGTCCAGCCCCTTCCCCATCTTCCTGTTCATTTCTGAGGATCCGAGCGAGGTTAGCTGGTTCCCTGTCCCCGGGAAGGGTCGGGGCAGAATGGCTGGGCTTTCTCTGAGCTCCTTGTGATGCTCCCTAGGAAACAGACCTCCACAGCCTCTCCCCATCCCACACTGCAGATGGGTAGCCTAAAGGTTGAGGGTGGCAGGTGATCGTGGGAAGTCTGTGGGACATCCTAGAGGTTTGTTTGCCTTATCTGTCATCAAGAGTTCAGGAAGGCGGATTTAGAGTTTTTTGGCTCCTTGCCCCAAAGCCTACTGTCAGCTTTAGACAAATGACAAAGATTTATTTAAATATACCGATGGCATCTTGCTGCCAGGCTTAGGTACAAGGAACCTTCCTGAGCCAACTGACCACCTCAGTCAGAAATGGCACCAGTCTGGACTGCGGCTTGGCAAAGGGGGCTGGGGGCTGAGGTACTCCAAGGTGTGGGAAAGATGGCACAGCGGAGTTGCTGGTCTGCATGAGAGCCAAGATGAGTTTCTGTGTCGCTGAATGCCAGAAGCCCAACCTGGCTTCAGATGGTTATTAGTGTAACAGTCCTTCCCCTCTGTTTCCTATAAATGTCTGCTTTAGCAACAGAAACTGCATTTCCAATGAGACTGATGCTCCGAGAACAACGTTAACAGTGACTTCTCAGTGTCTTCACAGAAAGCATTGCAAGAAAAAAGTCAGGAATGTGTTAGAAATGTAAGGAACACACAGTGGTGGTCAGGCTGCTCTGAATACCTGTTAGTCAGGAGGTATGGGACTTAATTTGAAGAAACAGCGATACAGCCTCATTCCAAGGCAGTTCACAGTTGGCACATTTTAGCCTCCACGGAGTCCTGAGCAAGGCTGGCTGTTAGTTTCTCCAAATTATGTGCAGTGGGGAAAAGTAAATTACAGATGCTGTGAGCACTGTTTGTGGATGTTTTCTCACTGACTTAGAGTGCAGCCATCCCTCATGTTCTTGGCAGCTGACCTGTAGAACAGGTAAAGTGGGGAAACCAGTATTTGCTTTGTGTTCAGATGAGTTAACGAGTCAAGCGTTTAGGATTCAGTGTCTGCACAACAATGTCCTATTGACATAAACAAAACCGATCTGTGATCCTGAGGCTGCCTTTGTAAGCAGCAACACATTATCTACTGAGCAGATGTCTAGATAACAAGGGATCCGTATGTGCTGATGCCGTAACTCTGTGTTAACAAAATATTCAGCCGTGTCCATGGCTCAGATATGTTCACTACAGGAAAGTCTGTTACAGCAGTGTATAGGTTTTGGAGTAAATATTTTGAATGTGTTTTCACACAAGTGGAATAGCTACAGAAAGCTTTAACTGTAACAAAAGAAAACATTGGACAAGATTCTCTCATAATTAATATGTACAACCAGGCAAAGCTGCAAGTACTACTGTCTGGTGTGTGGCTTCCTAGTTTCCTAACGCGTGCCCACTGAAACCTGCATTATTCCCATCTGGGTTCATGCAGGAGTTCTTACATTTGTGGGAAAAATTTGGGCGGGTGGGAGCTTGAGTTTACAAGTTTCAGGCAGACAAACAGAAAACAGGTCTTAATTTAGACAGAAAACAGTTAAACCACTGAAATGGATGGCATTTTGTGGCACAGTAATACAGGTTTGATATTAGCACTACTGTGGAGAGGTTTGGGGGCTTTCAGGAGCACAGTCCTGAACACAAGCCTGTCCTTTAGTTTTGCTATGGTTAACATGTAGTCTTTCATGTTATGTTTTCTGTATCCAGGTGGATTGCATATGAAGGATGTAATTTTTTAGGAAAGCAGATTCTGCTGGAGCCCAGTGAGATTTCAAACTGGAATGAACAAAGTGGCTGGAAAGTAATTGGCTCCCTTCGTCCTGTGAAGCAGGTATTGTAATGGTGCATGAGGACAATTATTTTTCTGGACAGGGATTAGTGCACAAGTATCAGCTCTAGCACTAAGTAATGGTGGGCATTGTACTCCTTAAATCAGGCCAAATGATGACAGGCAGAAGGACCTACTGGAAGATTACTGAAGCAGAAAATTCCTCCAGTGGCAGTTATCGAGACCTATATTAGGCTCCTAAAGGGAAATAATTCCTAGTTTCTTGGAGCCAAGTTTTGTTTTTCTGAATGGCTTATTAGCATATTCTGTAGATGCCCTATTGTTACATTTTTGCCATATAACAACAATAATGAGAAAACCAATTCTACATTGGCTTGTTTCATAATTAACATAAATGGAAGCAAGAACAAATTTTATTTTATAGTGCTGTAGCCTGGATTTCCAAAAGAAGCAAAGTTTATGCAGTCCCCCCAGGTTTTGCCGCTCTGCCTCACCCCAAGTAATGCCAATTTCGATCTCATTCAAAGATTCAAGTCTGAAAACCACAAAGTTCTTAGGAGCTCTGTGAAAGGTAGATAGAGATAAATGCCCCTCATTCAAGGACAAGCAGGTACAATTCTGCTTCTCTGCCTTTCCAAGACACATCAGGTAATCAGTGACACACACAAGCTCCAAACCAGTCAAAGCACACGTTGCTGCGTGCCCAGCCACGCAGCCGTGGGAGGGCAGCATCCGGGCAGGGAGGAAAAGGATGGGGGAGAGTGGCAGGGAACTGTCACTGCCAGTGAGCAGTAACTTCACTGGAAAAGAATTTTCATTAGCTCTGCTTCTCACAGAACAACTTGTTTCCACTTGGTGACAAATGCTGCTTTATTTTGAAACACTAGATTCAACTGGGGAACTGGGGAAATGTTGCAGGGAACAAAAATAATCATCTTTAGCATTAGTTATGCATTATCTGCCCTTCTCCCCTGGCAAAGTAAAGGATCCCTCCCCACCCCCAATGATTTGTTAGTCTAAGAAACTGACAGCTCCCTGGAATTCTTTGGAAGTGGTAACTACCAAAGGATCCCGTTTTGGCTCTGTTTTTGCAAGTAATAATGAAAATAATTTGTGCTGATCATAAAAACAGAATCCTCTCTTCAGCCAGCAGTCTGAAGAGCTTTTGTATTTGGTAGCATCCTTTTTTTACACTGCAACAGTGAGTAGTGTTACAAGGCCTACTTCAGCTACTTTGCTGGGACTTTTGGCATTTGGGGTTTGTGTGATGATTTTTTTTTGGTTTTGTTTTGGTTTAAATCCTGCAAACTGAGGGTTTCCTTAAGTTTGTACAGTCAGCTACCTGTGCTTGGCACTTCTGTGGGCATGTGGTCGTATTTTTTTGAGACTTGAGTAATAATTCCATCGTGCACCACCTTGTATTTCTTCCTTCTGGTTCCATTACAAATTACAAAAACAGTCAAGTCTGCCAGTGTAAGAGGTAGTGCAAGAAAAAGTGAAACATTTGAAACTCATGCAAAATGAGACACAAAGGTTTTGCTCAGTGACTTCATAATACGATCCCTTCCTTGTAAAGAGTAACTATACACTATACTAATACACATTAGTTTATGGATGCTTGGTAGGAGAGAGGTTTTATTGTCTGTACCTTAGGGTTTGTTTTAATATGAAAAAAAGGAGAGTCAAAGCTCCTGGAAGAAAAACTGTGCTTGAGTTGGGGTTCCAGCAGAGCTGCCCTTTATAACTCGCTGCTCTTTACTTGCACCAATATCGGTGAATAACAGAGCAAAAGCTCGAACCCTGTAGTAGCCCTACAAAATCTCCTTATTTTTTGAGTAAACTGAGTAAACAGGGATGCCAAGCCAATACCCTGTTTTCCATGTACGTTCAAAAGCAATGGTGTAACTTCTCTGCCATATATTCCAGTTAATGGGAGTTGAAGTTGCTGGATATGTGACTCAGTAAGTTTTGTGTCCTCAGAATAAAAAGCTTGTGGAGTACAGCCCATTTACTGGCCTTGGAATGAGTGAAATGTGCTGAACTAGAGAGATTTGCGTATCGCAGGAATTAGTTCTATAGACATAAATACATTTTTTAAAAAAAACCTATGTGCTATTGCTGCTTACAGCTGTCTATCTGCATGTGAAAAACACTGCTGCTTTACACGCACATTTGTTTCCAACAAAAAAATTATTGAACATCCTCGTCTGTAACTGGAACATATACTTTAGAAAACTGATATAAGATGGAGGGGAATCATTCTCACATTGACTTTCGTAATCTCTGTGTTATAACTATCTTCCTTCACGCTATTTCAGCCAGCAGTGTACCTCAGAGTGAAGAACCGAGCCCAGGGTAAATATTTGACAGTTGCTGGAAGCCTAGCAGATATAAGGGCAACATCAGTGTGCGCATCCCCATTCAATGGCAAGAATACCCAGATCTGGCACTACTGTCGTGGACTCTTCAAATCCAAGGTGAGTTTCCAGATGTTGGGCGTGGGTGGGTTGTATCGCCTGCTGTTCTTTCACCTTCGCTTCTTGCTTTTTCTGTCAGCTAGCATTAACACCGGGATAGCTTTTGGCCTCTCCCATGCATCTTAAATCAAAACTCTGATAACCTACATCCCCTACTATGTATAGACAGGTTTGATCTGTCTGCTTTGGCAAGTTGGACTACTTTTCACGTCTGTCTAATGGGACTGATGTTCTTGGAAGTAGAAACCTGGTTTTGTTTTTAAAGTAGCAAGTTGAAGTTTATTACCTCTAAAGAGTTAAGAATTTCTCTGAAAAGTAATATGCGAAGTAAGTGATTTTGTATTAATGCTGCCCTTGATAGTCTGTTATTAATATAAAAAGCTGATGATTTAACATAAACACCTGAAGTAACAAAGAACCACCACCTTTGATCAAGCAACTGGTCAACTGCTGAATAATCTGTTCCTAGCTTGCTTGCCAGGCTTGTCACCAACTACAGTATGAGATTACTGCAATGTGCTCGGTGCCTGAAACAGAAACAAGTCAGACGCCAAACCAAGGCTTTGTGGCCTGGATCTCACCTCTTTTCTTGTTCCTTAGGCTAACGATGCCTGTCTGGATGTCATTGGTGGCAGGGATGTACCTGGGGCCAAAGTCGCGCTCTGGGCAGAACATGGGAAGGACAGGCAAAAGTGGAGACTGAACGAGGATGGAACCATCAGTTCATACCTCAGCGACCAACTGGTGCTTGATATTAAAGGTATTTTTTAGAAAAAAAACAACTAAACCTCACATGGTCTAAGTGCATTTTTTGATTGAGGTTAATTGCCATATTCCAGCTCTTTTTGTACTTAAGGTTAAATACGGAATCCTATCTTTTCTGTTAGGTTTATGTCCAGTTGCTTGACAGTGGGACAAGAAACAACAGGGCAGGGGGGAACCTTACTCGTTTGATCCCAGAGGTTTATTTTGATCAGATGAACTATTCTACTTGAGGGAGTTCAGTAGTGCTGATGGCAAGAAATGCAAGTTACAGAAGACAAAATGGTGAAGGAAAAGCAACCACGGAATAGGTGTGTCTCAAAAAGAGAAAAGTGCTCACTCTGAATGTTTTCAGGCTGGTTAAAATTGTCATTGCTCAAGTTCTAGTCCGCATTATCCATCGTGGTAGAACTACCTCACTGGCGAATGCCTGTTCCTCACACACAATTTGTTGAAACCCTGCTGGCGCTAGGGTTTTATCCCTAGGGAAAGGTAGTGGGGCAGCGACTGCAGTGGCTGGTTATGAGGCTGGGGGCTCTTGGTGCCATCTTCTCAGATGAAAGTTCTAAGTAAATTAATTGATAGCCTAACACCCCTGCAGGGCTTACAGGCCAGGGTAAAGGCATATCCCACAGGTGAAGTCATCAACCTTTTCAATGAATGTCCTACTTACTGTCCATTACACGTCTGACCTCGGCAGCTCAAACTTACTGATAATGAATTCTCAGCCCTGCAATGTTGAACTAATAGAGTATTCCTGGCTTCCAGAACTAAAGATTTTAACCACCATTACTAATTCATAAATCGTTACTACAAAGCCATTAAATGCAACTGGTAATACTAACGGCAGCTCTTACAGTATCAGAAAGCTGTGCTGCCTAGGTTACTGCAAAATATAATGTTGAAGGCTGGGGTGGCGAGATACCACTTGATAGCTCTTTAGAACATTTATTTCTCTTAGTTGATTTTTATTTATGGTCTAATGAAAAAAAATGCACTGTCATTTCTATGCTACATGTATTCAAAGGAGAGAAATTTTATTTTAAGGACTTCATGTTTGTGGTTGAAATGGATACGCTACACCAAATAATCTCACATGTATCTGTGGATCTGTGTATTTCTACTATAGCGATATGTGCCTTAAAAATCCAGACACACAGCAGGAGCTCAGGATGTGCCAAAAGCAGAATCTCTTTAGAGGTGCTGTTTCTGTGCACAAAGGTACATTTGAGGATGCCAGTTTGTGGTATATTCTGCTTCCCGACTCATGGAGCTCCTCAGGGCCTAAGCTGACAAGTGACCCTTTGAAGGAGACAAACACACAGACACAGAGGGGCAGACACCAGCCCCCTGCCTCATGGAATTTCTGGTTTTCAGCTAATTTTCCTACTTGATCACACTTTTTAAAGATTATGCATAGACTTTTCTGAGTGTTTTCTTTTTAAAATTTTTCCTTCATGATTTTGTTTTGTTTTTAAGGAGGAAATTATTATGACAAAAATCACATTATTATGAATCAGCCAATAGACGACAAACATTCACAAAAATGGGATATTGAAATATTGTAAAACCCACCGCACAGATGGACTTTGTGTGGGTTATTAACACCTAGAGGGGGGTGAAAAAAACAAACTACTGAAGTCACACACCACTGGAACCTTAAGCAGCAACTCCTCTCTACTTCCCTTCATAACAAGCACCAACTCCTAAAACAACTGAACTTTGCACAAATCTGGAAGATGGACAGGTGATCTAATGTCTTTCTGCAGGGAAGCTGCTCCTATGAAAGTCACTATTACTCTTCATCTGAAGTATTGAAAGTAAATGCAAAAGACTGGACCTGCAAGAGAGAATACAGGAAAGGCTCTCTAGAAATGTTGTCTTCACCTTCCTCTCAGAAACTGATGGAAGCTCGCTGAAGAACGAATGCATTAATGAGCCTGAAAGAGGTTGAGTTGGACTTCTATGTCCTGCGTGAAACTGTGTAGGCTCCAAGCGATCCCGAAGCTCAAATCATGTATCTTGCTAAAATGCAATTTATTTTGTTCATAAAGACAACTTCAAACTGGAATTACCAGCTCAGCATGTGAAATGGGGCAGTAGAGAAAGCCTGACTTTCACCCCCCTAATATTACTGGTAGGCCTTTGCCTTCATTTCTTTTAACAATACCAGATTTCCAGATTCAGGAACTGGTTTTGCTGACTTATGGCCTGTTTTCCAACCCATGAAATCGTGAGTTATCACTGAAGGTCACCTTTAACATTGAGCCATATGTGCATGTATCAAAGAAGAAACGGTCCTGGGTCAGGCTAGACTTCTACAAGGGCTAGCTGCATTTAGAGCAGTAATGATTTTAACTCTAGCTGTATTTTGTTTTGATGTATATAGATTAATTTAATACAACGTAATTTGGTCTTGAAACCATGTCTTCCTTCGGAAAATAATTCACCCTAGTATGTGTTTTCAAAGGTGCTAGCAGCCTGCATTTCAACGCTTGCTTAATGTTAAAAGAAGAGCATAACTGCATGTTAACGTTACTGTGGCTTATCAACATGTACATCTTATCCCAAAGGATGAGGACTTGGACTAATGGTCCAGACCTTGGCATGCCGGTGCTTTCCTCAATTTCAGCACTATGCTGCCAGCCTACTAGCCATCACTTGAGAGAGACAGAGCCAAATACCTTATTGGACTGCACTTGTTGCAGGCTTGGAAAGCACGTTCCTCTCTCAACACTGACAAATGCAGAAGGAACTCCAGACATTTGTAGGCTGTGAACACCTGATGTGGAAGAGAAGTCCCTTAGATCACTGGTCACTTCATTTGATTTCAGCATCACTAAATTAGTCTACTTCATTGAAAATGTAATTTTTTTTTTTTCCTTATTTGTATATTCAGGGTATGTATTTCTGTAACTATTTAAAAAGTTTAGGTTAGCTAAAGACAGATATTTTAGTTTCCAAAAGCTGTAACTATTCCAGTTGTGCATTCAAACAGGATTCATCCCCAAACAAATAAAAACACATAACCCAAAGTTTGCCAGAGAAATAAAATATATGGATGTCTATTTTTGTATGAAATGGAGTTCTGTATAGTCCTATTTAAAAAAACCCAACTATCTACTTGCACTTACTATTTTGCATTCTAAAATCATCATAAATCTGCTGTTTAAGTAACAGATCTTCAAATGTATGTATATATTTTTCCAACTAAAGCACTTCTTTAGCTTTTTTAATGTAAGTCAGTATAGCAAGTGTTCTACATGTGACTTGCTTTCCGTATGAAATTTTAAAAGCCTGTGTAAAAAGTTCTAGTCTTTTAAACCGAGAACAACTAAATCATATTTGGTGTGTCAGTGTTGCATAACAAAGCAGGCTTTTGTACTTAAGAGATCTTGACTGTAAAATGCTAAGCATGTATATTTTAATTGTATAAAACTTTTTTTAGAAGGAACATTTTGCTTGTTGGTTTCTTTATAAACAAATGAAACATAACAACAGTTTTGACCAGATGTCAAGCACATTCCTGTAAAATATTTCCTTTCAAAAAGGGATAAGTATACTGAACATATATATGACTGTGCTGTTACGTTAGTTTGCATATGAAACATTGATGTTTAAGTATTGAAGTAACTGCACTACTCCCATCAAAACCCACTGAAGTGAGCGTTGAAGATACAGATTCCAGTTACAGGTTTGGGTTGCTTTCACACTAAATTGGTACTGGAGGAGGTAGAGGTTAAATACTATTGTTTGTTTATTCCAGAGGTGACAGTATCTGAGAGGAAAGGGGTTTTCCTGGGCAAAGTCTTACCCTTTTGGGAAACAACATGCACAGCTTTGACTGAGAAGCTTTTGTTCTCTTGGGGCAATAAAACAGAACAAACGATTTTCTTGCTGGTGAATGTTACAAATGAAAAAACAAGTTACTGGTTTTTGCCCTGGAGCCTGCTGCGTGTATACGTTCAGATGTCCTCCACATCAAGGCATATATCCAGAGCAAAGGGAATACCACGGCACTGGTGTTACTGTGAGTGACTTCATTGACAGGCACGGAGCTGTGGCTCATTAGACAATGAGCAGCTTAGCTGTTTTTCCTGATGCTCCTTTTCCCAAAGCTGAGGAAAGAAAAGTAGCATTTGGCACCAGAAAGGAGCAAAGTGTATCTATCTATTGCAATGCTTTGTTAGACAGCAATACACACCAAAGGCTGGACGGATAAAAAAGTATTTAATAAGCCTTTCTCTCAAGCGATTCTGAAGGGCTAGAAATACTACTTACAGGAGGAGCTAATTCACAAAAGCATCAAATAACTTCAATTAGACATTCAGTCCATAGGGACAAGGCAAGGTTTTCTTTCTCTTCATCTGAGATAAGGTTAAGCTCTTTAACATAAACAGTGCTGCTACTCCAAATCTGCTTCAGTGCATCCAAGTATGACAAAGGAAACCGCAGTCCATGAGTCTGCTGGGGGGGAAGGAAAAAAAAAAAAAAAAGAAAAAAAAAAAATCCTTCAGCTAAGTGCAGTGTCCCTTATTACACAATCGTGTCTTAGGCTACAGGCATCTGCTCCTTTTCCACATCACGCTGGTATTTCTGAGCGCATCCTCCAAAAGATGGAGTATTTTCCTGCCACCTTTCTTAATAGAAAAAATAGCTGAAATCTCTTACATAGCACACCTTCTGAGGTAGGGAGGCTTAAGGTGTGTGGCTTCCTCATGTGGTTTCCACACTGAAGAATGAAATAACTTTAAATCTAAACTCTTGCCTAACCCTACACACTATTTTTGGAAGGTCATGTAAGTTTCTATCATCTGGCACATGCAGTCTTTGGATGTAGTTCGCCAGAACCACAGAGGACCTCCATTACCATGGCTGGAGTCTTTAAGGGCAGGAAGGTATAGTCTGGGATTTGCACATATTGGACAGGTGCCAGTGTACACCCTCAGCTACTCCTATTCTCTACTCTAGAGGACCAACGAGATTTACCTTAAAAGGTAAGTAACTGCCAGGCAGAAAGCCTTGCTGTAATTACTGAGACAAGAACAGGCTCTGTTCAGCTTTGCCTCGGTGTATTTGTGCAGCCGTATTTAAGTGTTTCAGGTCACAGACCTAAGAGAGAGCATCTCACTATCATAAGCGGAACAAAAAAGTTCCAAAGCTCGCAGCCACTCTTCAGGAGTATTTATGATTTGAGCGAAAGCACAGTGTACGTGCTGAGTAAGAATGGGGAGGAACCATCAGCAGCCTTATTAACGATATGAAAAGTTCCCTCCTTAACATTTCACGAAAAGAATTAACGCTTTACTCCCAATGCTGACCCACCCCACCCTAAAATGAACACCCTTGTCTTGCGCTGCAGTCCAGTGGATACAGAATCTAACATGGCTTCAATGTGGCATAAACACGGTGCATGAGGCGGTGATCCCTGCTACTACTGACCGTGTGCGAGCATATCCAGTAGCCTTAATGAAGGATATGCTAAAGGACACAGAAGAGACATTTTTAGCTACTCCAGTAGCTTTGCTAGCTAGGACATAAAGCGTGCACAAGAAATCCTGTTAACATCTAAAACATTTAATGAAGCGTAAGATCACTATTAACTGCCTCTGTGTTGCCGCCTCAGCTCATCCGGGTACTTAGGGGATGAGCAGAAATGCTTTGGGTGCTGAGGAATACAGTAGAGCCCAGGCTCCCGTCACCATCTCAGTCAAGCTCTTCTAACGCAGCAAAACCCAACGTGGCAATGTGGCGTTTGTTGTGTGTTTGTGGGAACAAACCTGTGATGCGCCTTCCTCACTAGTAGAGTCATCTTCTGTCCCCATCATGTGAGTTTCTCTCCTGTTCTTTAAAGAATGATACACATAAACCATCTCTCTGCGAACTTCATCCTAAGACAGCAGGAAGAAAACAGTTACATATGATCCACATGCTCAAATTCCTCTCACTCAAGTGACAGTGTTAGCTCCTTAATTCTGGAGTCGACTGTTACATCAGTGAAAGCAATTCACCTTCCTAATTAACTGAATGATCCAACAGCTACCTATGATCTAACAAACAGCCATCTACTACAGCAATAAGGGAGTCTTCAAAACATCTTTGAACATTTATTTACAACCTGTAATCGTCTGCCTTAATACTGCCTCTACTAGACTCACAGGACTGATGCTGTATAGAAAACATGCCATTTAAGATGCACCTCCTAGAAGGTCTTAATGAAGAAGTGTGCATCGATAATTTCCATTCTGATACTGATCTGTCTCTTAAAAAATCATATGCCTGTTATCATTCCTTGGTCAAAGCTGTGCAAACCAATTCAGAGCTCTGTGGGCAGGTCTCACACCGAATTTGCGGACACAAGTCTTGGCATGTGTGCTGTCATTCAGGATTTATCTGTATGACATCCCAAGGCCAAGTGGCAAAAAGATGGCAAAAAGAAGTTTCCAAAACTTACACAGTCTCACAGCAATATGGACACATGGACAAAATGGAGGAGAAAAATAAGGAAGTTATGGTATGTTTTTCTTAGAGGGAAACATTTTACTCGTGAAAAAAAAATTGTACAGGATAGTCCATACTGTCCCCCCCCCCCTTTTTTTTTTTTTTAA